TAAGCGCATTAAATTCATGTAGTACACTTCAAATCTAGGGTATATGTTATTTTGGGGAATCTAACTTCTTAAGAAGATGACTTTTAGTAATTTGTTATCATATTGGCAGTGAATGAATTACCAAATTTATCCATAGTGGGTCGATAGTGATGTGATGTATAACTCCATTTGAGTTATCTGACCGACTTCTAAATAGAAATGTTTAAAAAAAAAAAAAAAAATTATGTATACCGAATTGCTTTTATTTTTTATTTTCGTTTTAAGACGGAAGGAGTATGTTATAAAATTTTATTTAGCCATTTGAGTTATCTGACCGACTTCTAATAATATTGTAAAGACTAGATATGTTTACAAAATTTGAGATGGCCTATTTATTATTTATAGTTTGATTGATGAAGAAGTAAACTTTATGCCTTTTGTTTTTTATTTTGAGGAAATTTGACAAATTAATTTACAAATTTATATTTAATTATTACACATTCAATAAGTACCCTTTATAATTGGGAATTATTTTGTTTTTCACGCTATCACTAGGCCGACAATGCAAGACCAATAGACCACGTAAGGAAACCCATTCGGATACTCTACTCTACTTTGAAAAGGTGTAGCCTATATAAGTATAAGTTCGGCCCAACTAACCAAGGCCAAAGAATTGATAATTCCATCAACACATCATATTTCATGTCAGCCATTAGATTTTAAAGCATCTTAACTGTTTGTTTGCTAAAGTTATTGAGACATAGTAATAATCAACCCTGAACTAGAAGCCTACATCGGCGTGTCACTAAGGCTATGTTTGGTGTGAGTGAATGGAATCAAATGAAGGTGGAATGGAATGCATTTGTTTCGATTCTCTTGTTTGGTGTGTCACATTAAAAGTGGAATGGTCATTCCATCAAAAAGGTGGAATGCCCATTCCTCTTCTTAAGAGGTGGAATGACCATTCCATTTTCACCAAGAATTAATAAAGTAATAAAATAATTTAAAGAGATAATTTACGCATACACACACTATATAATATAATATATATATATACATATATATATATATATAATATGTATCTATATGCCGTTTGTTCCCTCTCTCCGATTTACACACACAAGGTTGAGACAAAAATAGTGTAATTGAACTTCCATGAGCTTTTGTGCTTGGTTATTCAACTTTCTCAGTCATTATCTAGCCCTTTTTTTTTTTTTTTTTTTTTTTTCGCGCCGAAAAAGTTGATCAAAAAATTATTTTTTTCCCTTTTATTTTTACAGTCGTCGGAGAGCCCTCTGTTTCTTTTATCTCGTCTATTTTCTCTCTCTATCTCGTCTATTTTCTCTCTTTTTCTATTATCTATTTCCCTTTTATTTTTACAGTCATCGGAGAGCTCTCTGTTTCTCTCTATCTCGTCTATTTTCTCTCTCTATTATCTCTTTCCCTTTTATATTTGCAGATTAATTTTTTTAGTTAATTTTTTTTACTAATAATAAAATGTAATTTAAAGAAACAATATAAATTCATTCTATTCCAACTTTTTTACCAAATATAGAAATGAGAATGAGATTCCATTTTTACACATTCCATGTTTACAACCAAACAGCAGAATGAGAATCATTATTCCAATTCCATTCACACCTCCATTCTCATTCCATTCCAATTCATTCCACCACACCAAACATGCCCTAAATTTATTCGTATAGTAATGTGATGTTTACCTTTTTATAATTTCAATACATCAAGGTTAAAATAGAAATGTAAATATATATATATATATATATATATATATATATATATATGAAAATGTGGAATTTTTATTTTTATTTTTTTTTGGAGACAGAAGGAATATGTTATAAAATATTATTTGGCCATTTGAGCTACCTTACCGACTTCTAATAATATTGTAAAAGACTATATGAGTTATTTATTATTGGAAATTTTTTTAAAAAAACTCTATTTAATTATGCATATTTTCAAATATGCCAACTTTTTAAAAGAATTAGGTTTGATTGCTAATTTTATCAAATTAGCTAAAAAAAGTATACAAAAACACTATTTAAACTCTTTAATGGTCCTAAATGCCCTTCTCTCTTTCAAAAAGTCCGACGGCAAAATATAGGCTAGTTTTGAGGTTCTTCAGTTCAAGTGATCATCATTTAGACAAGCATCAAAACATGGGCCAATTTTGAGATTCTCTAGTTCAAGTGATCATCATTCGGACAAGCTTTAAAACATGGCCATTCAAAGTCTTCAACTCCTTTGTCACCTTCTTCCTTTTCAATTAAATTAGAGAAATCAACTATAAACCCTTTTGGCTTATTCATTCTTTCTTCTCTATCAAACCCATTTTCTCTTACTAATTTCCTTGATCAAGACCTATCTTTTATATCACTTCCGTGTACCACTACTTTCCCTTTCTTTTGGGTCATCAAAATAACTAAAGATGGTTTCCTTCAAAGTTTAAAATCTCTTTTTAATTTTTGTGTTTAAATTTGATATGGGTTTTTTTGAAAAAGTATCAACCAAATGGAATCCGAAGGCACGAAATGGGTGATTGCTGTAATTGCGATTTTTTTTTTTTTTTTTTAGTTTCCGGGTTTCTCTATTTTAGTTGTATAGATTTTATATTAAATGCGTACAATATATATTTATATAATGGGTATTCTAGTTTAGATCAAGATATTTGCTTAATGGTTTTTTTTTTTTTCCTTACGTTTTGTCTGTTAGATCTCGTCACCGAAAATAATGGGAACCACAGCTGGACTTTTCGGGAAGAGATAAGGATAATATTTAGGATCATTAAAGAGTCTAAATAGTATTTTTGTATACTTTTGTTATTAGTTTGATAAGGTTGACTGTTGTGGGTGTCACTTAGTAGAAGTTGATGTGGCATGTTGACAAGTCAATACAACCCTAGCCAAATCCTCCGTGGTAATTTGAAAAGTCAAAAGCCTCCAAAGGTCAAATCTCGAGCACTATAAGTCCTAGCATCGCTCCAGGCCCACAAGCCTCGAAAGATCAAATCTCGAGCACTCTAACCCCTGGCATCGCTCCAGGCCCACAAGCCTTGAAAGATCAAATCTCGAGCATTCTAAGCCCTGGCATTGCTCCAGGCCCTCAAGCCTCGAAAGATCAAATCTCGAGTACTCTAAGCCCTGGCATCGCTCCAGGCCCTCAAGCCTCGAAAGATCAAATCCCGAGCACTCTAAGCCCTAGCATGGCTCCAGGCCCTCAAGCCTCGACAGATCAAATCCAAGCACTCTAAGCCCTGGGATCACTCCAGGCCCTCAAGCCTCGAAAGATCAAATCTTGAGCACTCTAAGCCCTGGCATCGCTCCAGGCCCTCAAGCCTCGAAAGATCAAATCTAGAGCACTCTAAGCCCTGGTATCGCTCCAGGCCCTCAAGCCTCGAAAGATCAAATCTCGAGCACTCTAAGCCCTGGTATCGCTCCAGGCCCTTAAGCCTCGAAAGATCAAATCTCAAGCACTCTAAGCCCTGGGATCGCTCCAGGCCCTCAAGCCTCGAAAGATCAAATCTCAAGCACTCTAAGCCCTGGGATCGCTCCAGGCCCTCAAGCCTCGAAAGATCAAATCTTAAGCACTCTAAGCCCTGGTATCGTTCCAGGCCCTCAAGTTTCGAAAGATCAAATCTCGAGCACTCTAAGCCCTGGCATCACTCTAGGCCCATCAAGCCTCGAAAGATCAAATTTCGAGCACTCTAAAGCCCTAGCACTGTTCCAGGCCCACCAAGCCTCGAGTGATCAAACTTCGAGCATACAAAGTCCTAAGATCGCTCCAAGCCCAATAAGCCTCGAGGAGCTGATCCTTGAGCATCCCAAGCCCTGGCACCACACCAGGCCCTTCAAGCCTCGAGAGACCAACTCTCGAATACCTTGAACCCTGGTGTTACGCCAGACAATACTATTTTGAAAGATTGGAGCTCCTTAGCACGAGATGAAGGTAGGATCTTCGTGTTATAGGAATCCATATTTGAGAAACTTAGGAGGATCTTGGATTGGTGGATGCGAAGTCAAGAGGTGCCTTCGCTCTCTGTAAAGCCCAATTAATAAGATGATGGGATTATATATATCGTGATAACAAACCTTAAAATCATAATTCATGCTATGTCAGGTTTGACCAACCGATGGCCAAGCAACATTTAATGCCCCTGATTAAGGGAGAAGTGACATGGCAATGTGGGACAAGGCTCGAAGAAAGGATTAGACCCTTCAGACTCCTAAATCTTCAAGATTACTCATGTAATCCAGATTGGGGGTAATGCATGCGAGGGACCATGCATGGAAAGAACCATTGGATAATAACCAATGGAATCCAGATCTATAAATGGCATTGTCCTATGTAGAAAGAACCGACCAGAAAAGGAAGAGAAGCTGTCATGAAATATTGTATACTCACCCTACTACCATCTTTATCTTGATAGTTGGTCTTCTTTTCCTCCTCCTACATTGAGTATCTCCTCTGTTTTCCTTCGTATTTGTATTCCTGATATCTTTATTTTATTGCTGTTTTATTATCTAGTAGAAAAGAACCCCTACATTTTGGCAACTCTACTGGGGATATCAGTACAAGCAGATGGAATCACAGGATATGCCAACTCACCATTCAGAGCCCTCTGTTGGAGGAGGTGGTGACTCTCCTCTTCAATCTCAGGCACCGTCACATGCTTCCAATGTTCGCACACCACATATCACAATACAGGAAAACTAAGTAGCCCCTTCCGTTCATGAGGAGTTGTTGCAGTCCAACCGTGATCTTAACGACCGCCTTGATAGGTTGGAAGCCTTGATTATGCAAAGTGCACAAGCCATAACTGTTTCTCTCACTAGGGTGGCCCTTCGTGAGCTGGATCAGCTAGACAGTTCATCTACTCACGTGCCACCACTATGGTACCCTCCTACGCAAGCCTAAGCAGCCCCAAAGCCCACCCCAGTTCAAGCGGTTCCACCGGCAAACCCTTCCCCGGAATATGTCACTGAATCCATGCTACGTGATTTTTCATGAAGCATGCCCCATCCACTGCACGTGCATTAGTATTGCGTACGAAGCCTCCGTACCCAAAAATCCTGGCTCAGACGCCGTACCCACAGGGGTACATCATCCCAAAATTTCCTAAGTATAACGGCGTCGAAAGGGATACAGATGAGCACTTACAGAGATTCATGGAATCTCTAGGCCAGCATAGATATGACGAGATCTTGCACCTTCAAGAATTCTCCAAGTCTCTCACAGGGCTCGCGTATAGGTGGTTTCGTAGCCTCGAGCCAGACTCAATCACCACTTGGCAACAACTCTCTCAGAAGTTCCACGACAAGTTTGGCCAAGCCATCGAGGGGGTCACCACCCTCTCCCTCACTAAAGAAATGCAAGAATCTCACGAGGAGCCCCTCAAGTTCATCTCTCGCTTCCAAGCCCGTGCGAGGGAATGCTTCGAGGGTAACAGTGAAAGGGTTCTGGTTGATATCTACATACAGGGCATGACTAAGACCTATAGGATACACTTGGTCAATCTGGGTCTCAACAGCTTCAGCGATCTCACCACAGCTGTACGGAACATTTGTAAGGATCTCGCACCTCCCAAGGTAGAGGTCGCTAGACAGGTAACTTGCAAAGACATGCCGGTTGCTCCTTGCAATGACAGAGCAAAAAAGCTTCGCGAGACAGATGTTAGGGCCAAGGGATCTCGAGCTGAGCAAACAAATGATCCTCCCCCATTCCTAGTATGTATGGAAGAAGTCGCCAGTACTCTCAAGCAGTGGGTCAAGCATGGTGTAGTCGTGCTACCTGTTCCTCACAAAGAGCCAACCGCGCAGGAGCGTGCGAGCCCAAATTTCTGTATCTTCCACCAAGCCACTACACATCCAACAAGTGCCTGTAGGACTCTAAGGCAAATTTTTCAACAACGGCTCAAGGGTGGTGATCTCGAGTTGACTATGCCAAAGGATGTACGGCGCAATCCATACCCTCGTCATCGTGGTGTGGTTGTGGTCACGTATTATGATGAATTGGAAGAAACCAACCCCATGTAATCAAAGGTTCAAGCACAACACGGTGAGGAAGAGTGCTGCGCAGCCGCTTTATCAAGTCAACCCCCCTCTCACCAGGCTCCTTTGATCATTTCCTTCTTCGAATCTGACAAGAGGGTCTCTACCCCTCAGAATCGTCCTTTCTATGTCACTGTACAGCTCAATGGTAGGGAGTTCCAGCGTGCTTTTCTAGATAACGGATCTTCCATTAACATCATGCCATGGGCCACTTTTCAGAAAGCTGGTTTACCCCAAGATCGCCTTGTCAAAAAGGCCATCGAAGTTTATGGTTTCGGCAATAAATCCCACCAGACTCTCGGCTATGTAAATGTTGATCTAGCTGTTGGTAGATTTGGAGCTCCCACCAAGTTCCATGTCATCAAGGCTGATACATCCTACCATGTACTCCTTGGGCGGGCGTGGATGCACCGTTTCGGCATAGTGCCCTCTACCTACCATCAATGTTTCAAAGGAATTTTGGGCAACAAAGTCATCACGGTTCCGTGCTCTGATAAGCCCTTTGCCAAGCACGAGGCACACTTTACTGAGGCTCTCTTCTTTGATGAGTCGGATGATGAGGATGAAGAAGGAGAGGCACATATAATTCATACTCTGCTACCCAAGTGGGATGAGGTACAGCAGGGCATCTTTTACCCTCCACAACCATATGTTCCTCGTCGCAGCGCAGAAGTCGCTACCTCGTGGGAGTGCAAACGAGTAAGGCTGCCGGATGGGCGATATGTCTACCGCTTATGACGGTGTGCGGGCTCAGCCTTGGCGAGCCCAGTTGTCGAGCCTACGTGTATAGAGAAGGAGTCATTACAACTATCAGATCTCGAGGAAGTTAATCTCACCCCCGTAGGACGAGAGTCACGGATGACCTTCATCTCCTCGCAATTGGACCCATCATTACGAGATGGCCTCATTTGCCTTTTGAAAGAATTCTCGGACATCTTCGCATGGACCTATAGCAAGATGCCTGGATTAGACCCCCAGCTTGTGACACGTCATCTCAGTACCATCCTAGGCTCGCGCCCTGTTAAACAAGCACCTCGAGTCTATCGACCTGAGCTCGAGCTTCAGATTAAGACAGAGGTTGAAAACTTGCTCCTCGCAGGATTCATTAAGCCAATCTTACATCCAACTTGACTAGCAAATATTGTTCCTGTGAAGAAAAAGAACGGATAAATCTGGATCTTCATCAATTTTTGCGATCTCAACAAGGCATGCCCGAAGGATGATTTCCCTCTTCCTATCATAAATACATTAGTTGATGCAACGGCCGGGCATTCACTTTTCTCCTTCATGGATGGGTACAACGGCTACAATCAGATACGGATGGCCGAGATAGATGCCCATAAGACTGCATTTCGGACACCACTTGGTAATTTCCACTACACTGTCATGCCCTTCGGGTTAAAGAATGCTGGAGCCACATATCAAAGAGCCATGACTACCATCTTTCACGATATGTTGCATCACACGGTGGAAGACTATGTCGACGATTTGGTGGTGAAATCCAAATGGCGAGAAGATCATCTCTACGATTTACGTCACATTTTTGAACGATGTCGTATGTACAATCTACGCATGAATCCCCTTAAGTGCGCGTTCGGGGTACGTCGCGGCAATTTTTTGGGCTTTTCGGTACATCGCCAAGGGATCGACCTCGACCCCACCAAAGCTCGTGTAATTACAGATATGCCCCGCCCTTGCTCCTTCAAATAGCTTAAAAGTTTTTTGGGCAAAGTTTCATATTTGCATAGGTTCATACTCGCTCTCGCCTAAGTCTCTTATCCTTTTAGCACTTTGATTGAAGGCAATGTCAAATTCTTTTGGACAGCAGCTCATCAAGCAGCCTTTGAGAAGATTAAGGCCATTCTTGCCTCTTTAACCACCATGCACCCACCTGTCAGGGAGCAACCTTTATTTCTCTATCTCACTTCAACTGACAGGTCTATTGGGGCCCTTCTCGCGCAAACAGTCGATGGGCAATAATGGCCAGTCTATTCTCTCAGTCGCCTTGTACGTGAGGCTAAGTCTCGCTACTCAGCCATCGAGCGTCATTGCCTCGCACTTGTTTTTGTTGCACAGAAGTTTAGACATTACTTCATGGCCCATCGCGTCCATTTGATCACAAAGTGTGACCCGTATAGACACTTCCTCTCTAAGCTAATCATCTCAGGAAAAGTGTCGTGATGGCTTTTAGCTCTCTCAGAGTTCGATATTAACTGTTGTGCACCGCAGGGTATTAAGAGCCAAGCTTTAACAAATTTGCTCACATAGTTCCCCGAGCAGAGGCATGAGCCCCTTGACGACACATTGCCCCTTGATGAGCTCCAAGTGGCCGCCATCGAAGACAGTCACAGTGAATGGTAACTCGCTTTTGATGGGTCATCCACTAGCGTGGGAGGAGGGGCAGGTATCATCCTCACCTTGCCAACTCAGCATGTCACCGCGGCTTTCAAATTGGCCTTTCGCTGTTCCAACAACGAAGCCAAGTATGAAGCATTTATTCTTGGCCTCCTTGTAGCCCTTGACAAAGGCATCTCGTGATTATGCGTATGCGGGGATTCCAAGTTAGTTGTTAAGTAGGTAACGGGTTAGTATGCCATACGCGAGCCTTCGCTCGTATCTTATCGTACCATTATTCAAAAGCTCTTCGCTAGATTTTCCTCCGTTCGGTTCTTGCATGTACCTTGTTCCAATAATAGGTACCCAAATGCATTCGCAACGCTAACCTCTAAGCTAACAATTGCAGATGACATGACTCAGATCCGCATCACAAAACGCATCGGTCCAGCTACCATCACTGAGCTTTTCCTGGCCCAAACTGTTCTGGACAATGATTGGCGAGCCCCAATCATTAGTCAGCTCAAATAGCGGAGAGGATCACTACCTCTCACACAACTGAAATCATTCTAACTCTTACAGGAACTGCTCTACTTCCTCCTGCCATGTGGAATGTTAGCCAAATGTTTGGGCCCTCGCGATGCTAAAGCAACTCTCATAGCGACTCATGAGCAGCACTGTGCTACACCTCTGGCGTTATACCGACAGCTCCAGCATCAGGGTTATTATTGGCCAGATATGGCGGCTAAGGCCAATACCCTGTAGCGTACCTGCCCGTTATGTCAGGCTATAATGGATGAGATGGATGAGACCGAATCTTGTATTCTCGAGATGGTCGATTGGCGTAGCCCGTTCATTGATTTCCTTGCGCATGGTACCCTTTCAGATGATAAACAAACTGCTGCAAAGCTAAAGAGGAGGTCTGCATGATTCGAGCTTCGGGAGGGTGAACTCTTTCGTTGAACCCTCAATGGTACGTATCTGCGATGTTTATCTCACAATGACGCCATGGAAGCTCTAAAGGAGGCTTACCAATTGGAGCATCAAGGCTCACGCAAGCTCTTTGCGCATTTATTACAAAAAGGAATTTATTGGCCTACTATGGAGTGCGATGCCAAGTCTCATATACAAAAATGCTGACCTTGTCAACATCACCATCATCAGATCCATACGCCGGCTACACCTCTACACCCTATTGAAGTCCCTTGGCCATTTCACACATGGGGGCTAGATTTTATTAGGCCAATCCATCCACCGGAGCAAGGTCATATGTGGATTCTTGTTGCAACAGAATACTTCATTAAATGGATTGAGGCGGTCCCCCTCAAGCATGCCACCGGTGGGGCCGTCGCGGCTTTCATACAAGAGAATATCATTTGTCGCTTCGGAATCCCTCAATGCCTTCTCACTGACAATGGTACTCTTTTCATTAATCATAAAGTCAAGGGATTACTCAAGCAGTAGAATGTCCAGTATAAGCGTTCCTCGCCATATTACCCACAAGGTAATGGCCAAGCAGAGGCTTCAAATAAGAATCTCATTCGCATCTTAAGTCGAACGCTCGAAGAAAAGCCTAGCACATGGGTAGAGCAATTGCCTCTAGCACTCTAGGCTTATTACACTTCCACCAAATGCTCTACTGGTCAAACTCCGTTCTCCCTTGTCTATGGAACGGAGGCTATTTTGCCCATTCATATTGCAGTCCCTACGGCGTAGCTCGCCTCGCGAAGTGGGATTTCCATGTCTTGAGATAATGAGTTGGAGGCCCTCGATGAGCGGCGCGAGGCAGCCCTGTAGCATCTTCAACAGTACCAGCACAACATAGTGCTAGCATATAACAAGCATGTCCAACCTCGACAGTTTAAACCAGGTCAACTCGTTCTTAAAGCTACTCCACACATTATGCGCGGTCTCTCAGCTCCCAAGTTCTCACTTAATTGGGAGGGACCCTATATTCTCAAGACATCTAGCGATAGTGGTTATTGCACACTCGAGGGCTCTGATCATTACCCCATTAATAATGTATGGCTAAAGCCTTACTTTTGTTAAACTTGGTTATCCTAAATAAAAATTACTGGTTTTATTCAGTTTGGTACATGACTCGAGTTCTTGTAAAAAAACAAAAAAAAATCCTAGAGAAAGACAATCACAAATTTTCTCATTCAATGTTGTTTGATTATAATTGTGGAGTCCTTGACTTATGTCTACATCAATAACGAAAAAGTAACCTATAAGTCTAATCCGCATATGATGATAGTAGCGAGTAATCATCATCGAGCTCCCGCGAGTACGCTATCATCACTGCCAAGCTTTCTCGCTCTTGTGCTAGCTCCCCCTCCAATTTGTCAATCTGAGCTCGTGTTTCTTGAAGGCGTGGTGTGAGCAGTCGCTGCTGCAGACATTTCTCAGCCACATATAGTCATTTTCGCAGCCACGAAACTGGACCTTCGAGTCTCTGAACATCATCCAATAGGAGTGTAGCCTCCTTGATAAGGTTTTCATCAGTCGCGCCTTGTTCGATTTCTGCAAAAATCTCTAAAATTTTGCCAAAGCATAGGTACAATGATTGTCGCACATATGCATGGCGCGAAGATAGAAATTCCGAAACCTCAGGATGATGTGCAAGAGCTGTCTCGAAGAGTCGTAGATAG